GCAAAATTTGATAAGGCTTAGCAACCTACAGCAAGCAGAAAATGAGTTCAAAGTTCATAACTAGAAGAGATAATTATTTTCTACAATTCTTTATTTAATATTCTATGTTTTAAGAAAAATAACTTTAAGAACTTATTTGTAAATAGTAGTGATGTATATACATATATATAATGTATTATAACTGAAATGTGACTGTATTTTACAAAATACTTGTCCACTAAAACACAGCCAAGACAGTCACTTTGTAAAGGCCATTTATACTCTTGGATACAGTAACATGAGTGCACATGTGCCGTGTCATTGTAACTTCAATAATGTTTGCCAGGCACAGCTGAAAGATTAATATAATAAAAATAATAAATATATATAAATGTATAATATTATGAAATTTAAGCTATTTAGACTAAATATTTGTGTTTTCGTGTTATAATTTGCAGTCATTCTAGAAAGAAAAAAAAGCATAATTTATATTTGTTTCCTAATGTTTTATTAGGTTACGAAGTCAGTCAAATTGAACCAACATGTACAGAGATACAGTAGTGAAAATAACACATAAAATATATAGTTTTTTGTAAAAAAAATTTGACAATTATCTGTAGGCTATAAAGGTTTTGCATGTGAAATTTGAAAATGTTCTAATGCATAAAAGTATTTTTAATCTTAAAATCAAAATTATTTTGAATGTTAGATAGTCAACATTCTGAAAGAAAAAAATTTATGAGAAAATCTTTAATTAAAAAATCTTAATACTTAATTTAAAAACCTGATATTTTGTGTATGAAAGCCTTGTAATGTTTACCAGTAACCTGCAAAATTTTGTAAAGACATGCATACATTATAAAAAATCATAGTATAATTACTCTTGTGGATTATTTTGTGGTTATGAGTTGGGTAGATTCCACCAAGCCTTTAATGAAAGGGTTAACTGATTAATCAATGGTCTCATTAATTGGTTCGTGCAGCATTCATACATAACATTGTAAGCATCCCCCCTTCCCCATACAAGCCAAAAGGGGTGAGTATGCCAGCACACATGATGTTACTCTCACTATTTTCACAATAAAAACAAAGAGATTTATACTATAAGAAGTGAAAGATAACACAGTTTTATTTGGGGTTTTACAGAGCACAGTTTTACTTGGTGTGTCTAATAAGCATAATGCCAACGTATTTCAACTTGATCAGTTGAAATATTAATGAGTGAGTGAAATTGTCAGCAGTACATGAAATTGAAAAATAACATTGTAGATATCCGAACAAATATATATATATATATATTTGATGTACCCTCTGTTTTACGTGGTTGTAATTCGAATATTTTCAGTCATATAATTTGAAATATGTAATAAACAAACAGTTTTACTGAATATTTTCTTAATGTAGTTTCATTACAAAATACATTTTTAAAGCATGAAAATGCTGGCTGTAAATGTAGTAAGGGGAGGCAGAAGATACCACCCACTTTGTGAAACCTTTTAATTCATGTCAAAACAGTTGCACAGTTTGTAAATAGAATAAAATCCCAAAGGAAAGACAACAAGAGTGTTGGTAAAGGCTAATAGTCAGCAATGAGACATGTGACACTTAACCCGAATCAGCTCAACAGTGTTGAAGCTGAGCAGTATATATCTCTGTTCTTTCAAACTGGAATTGGCCTTTGTCTGCATAACAACCAGACAGTAGACTAGGAATGAGGCTGGGTCAAAAAGTTTGATGTGCATGTGTCTTTTGCTCAGCAGGGGCAACAAAAGGCAGCAAGGCCACAGGTTGAGGGTCAGATGTAAACCCAGGGAATCTAGGGATCAAGAAGTTCTTGAGTTATTTGGGTGCATGTTCCATGGGTGAAGATGGGCAGGAGTACACATTAAACCTGTAGATAGGTTGTTTGACCATTAGCTAGTTCACTATCATAACCGAGTGCTGTGGCCTACTTTGACTAATTAGAACGTCTTTATTTCATTGACTAGATGTTAATTTTCCTGTCCTTCCGAGGCGATACACACCTCTGTACACAGAAGTTATCTTTCCCATGCATCTGCCTTAGAGATTTGTATGCCGCTATCCTTTAGGCAACTCCCACCTAAACTCACAAGATTTCTTGTGATATGTGCTACTGCATAATGACATTATTATGCAGTAAAAGCCCTCCACCAATAGGAAAGCAACACAACCTCCATGTGCACTAGCTCCCTCTATGATTTTGCACTCGTGATCTTCATTCTATTCCTCAGCACTGAACACACCAGAGATGTTTTTTCTTTATCAATTTAACAAGATTTGCGATTTTGATGGAACATAATTTCATTTTTTTTTCCAATCTATAAACATTAGTTCATGTACTGTCTTTTACTACTTGCGTGAGATGGCTTATTTCCTGACACATGTTGTATAATAATGATGGCTTATGGACACATGTTCCCTGGGATTGATGTGGCAGTCATTGTGGTTGGGATAGTGGGTTTCTTTTTACTGCCAGGTACTTCAGCTCTTGTCCCTTCATAAAGCTTTCCTTTCTCTCATTTGTGGGGTGAATGAGGATGACAAATTTGATAGTTTCTTCACCTGATTAGGCTTTAGGAATTTCTCTCCCTGTTGAAAAGAACCTTAGACTTTCTTGCTTTCTTCAGCCTTGATTTATCAGGTATGCACCATTCTTTTCTTTCCCTGTATTTTATTCTTCTGTTTGTTCCCTATTTCTTAATCCTAACTCTTAACTTGTATCGTTCACCATTCCTGGACCACTTCTACTTCTATGACTTTAAGTGTCTCCCTTCCTGTTTATTTGATTCTTATTTCCTTAATTGTAGTCATTCTGTATCCCCTTTTGAAATTTTCACACTTAGGTCTGCCTTGGAGGGGGGCAGACTTTTGGCATTGGTTTCGCCCTCCAGTTCCCAGTACTCCTGTTTTTATGATCCTTTTCCTATGCTTCTTTACATCTCTTCTCTACATCTCACATCCGAGTCACTCCCCAGTGCCCCAGAGCATATTGTGGGTGATTCTCATTCCCTTCACTTCTCCACTGTAGCTGTTTCCCTTTTGCCTTTCCTACTCACTCACCTCCTTGTTACTGGAAATTGTTGGTTATGAACTAGGGTTATAGGTACTCTACTATCTCAAGTTTGATATCTTTATTCCATTCTTTGAGCCATTTGTCTAGCCCTTTCTTAGCCCTGAAGTTTGGAGGTATTCCTATTTTATTGAATCAAGGGCTGTGGCTGCCCATCATCAATCCTTGCTTTCGTAAGTTGTTACTACATTGTCCACAATCCTACCATCCACCATTGCACCTCTTCTTTGTCCTTCCATCCCTGTATTTTTGATTCCCAACTTCCTTTTCTACCTGGTGTCAGTCCCATTGAGCTTGTTTTTGATGAGCCTGTAGGTGCATGAGTGTCATGATTTGAACTCCTGTGGTCACACTTTTCCATCCACTTTTTCAGGGTTTTTATACATTTTTACCCATGGACTTTCTCTCCACTTCTCTTACCCTCCTCCTTTCAGCCATCTTCTGGTTTCCTTTTCTCTTTCCACTCCCATCTATGTCCAATGTCTCATTTGAGGCTGTACTCAGTTGATCCTTGTGTGACCAGTGAGAGTCCTCATGGAATTCCTTGATTTCATTGGTTCTCCTGTCCCTTCCTTCATTCTAATATTTGTATGGTTGGTTGGACCGATCTTTCGCCACCATTGGTGTTCCATTACCTCCACTGGCTTAACCTCAGTTCTTTGCCATCTGTTAACACACACCCCCTTTTCCTGCCAATTATACTACATCTACTGTTTCTTTTCTATCACTGGAACTTGTCCTTCCGCCTTCCTATTTGGTTTAGTCTGGTCCTTTGCCTGTGGAATGAGATTTTACCATCTGGTAATTTTTTCTGGGCATCTTTCTACCTGGTCCTTCTACATTTGGTTGACACTTTACTCCTAATGGTTCTACCATCAGGCATCTCCCTTCCCTTTACCAGGCTATTTGACAGAGTTGAGCTGTCTCTGCCTTTGCCTATTATTGGGTGGTCTTGTTTTCACTCTTTTAGCTGCTCAATGTCACATGGTGTTTCCTCCCCTGTTTTCTCCCCCTTATTCATATCCTTCCTTATATATACACACTATTGTTCTGTGCCTGACTGGGACCCCCTGTGTCATTCTGCACTATCTTACCCATGCCCAGTCATACCATATTATTTTTTCTTATCACTTGTGGTCACAGTTGTTCTCTTCTTTCTGCTAGCTACTCATCCCATGCCCTTTCCATTGTCCTTTTATTATTTCTCCTGTCTTGCCCATCCTCCTTTGGTCTTCAGCCACTTGGAGAGGACACTTCTATCCTTATCCTCTCTCCCATCCTTCTATTTCACTCTTATATACTTGTTAGGACTCAGACAGATTTTTCTGCCCTGTCCATGCCATTTGTTGCTCCTTAGTTGGTACCTCTCACTTTCGGGGTTACAATCTTCCCCTCTTCATTCCTTAGGATTCCTCTTCCTCTGGGGACAACTATCCTTCTGCCTTTATTTGTATGTTCCACCACATTCTTTGTTTGATCTCCTCCTCCTCAGAATTTGTTGCTCACAGATGGTCTGCACTTAGTTCCATCAGATTCATCACCTCTCATTCTCTCACTGATTGTTTCCTATGGTGGTGACACTGTCAATGTAGTGCAGGTCATTCCCCTTATAATTATATTCATCACATGCCAGTGTCCCCCATCCTACCACCCCCTAGATGTTGGTTCCCAGGTAGTCTGGTGTTGGATCAGTATACGACTAGCCAGTATAAGTCCTCACATGTATGGTTGATAGGGATCCTCCTCCTACTGCTGACTGGATGAAATATTCCTAATGTCGCCTGGTTTCGAACCAGAGTTGACCCACCATGTTTGCATTCCCCCTCCTACCATTGCTGAGATGTCTAGTTCATTGATGGCCTAATGTTGGTTGTGTATTGAGTCTGCATACATGTGCCCTTCCTGGGTTATCAGAATTGAAGTTGCTTTTCCATTATTCTTCCCGGTCATGAGGCACAGACAGTTGGGACTATCCTCCTGCCACGAATCATAAGACACATACCCGATGCTGCCTAGTTTTGGAGTGGAGAACATACACTCATAATTCTTGTGTCCTCTTCTCGCAGCCAGTGTCAATCCCCCCCCCCCCCCAAAAAATTGTGACAAAATTTCGTGGGGTGTTCAGGGATATTGTTATCCCCCTTCACCCCACTCATGATAATTTTTGTTTGTTACATTTGTGGGATATTTAAATTTTAGCTGGAGAGGTTGGTCCTATGTTGTCTAGTGAGTTTACAGACTTTGGATTGGAGTATGGAGAAATGAGAGAAGCAGAGGCATGTCCAGAGGGTTACAGGGCAGCGAGAAAAACCAAAGCTGATGACGTGACATCTTTGAGAAGAAACAAGGTAATAAACATTTGACAAAACACAGAAATAAACTTCCAATGATCAGGATCACAGGGTGGCTGGGATCATTAAATCCAAGTGCCTTAGAATTTGTTGTGATGGGAAATGGAAGTACCCCAAGAAAACCCACTTTCATAGGACAGGTGCCAAATATTCTACCTGTCCTGTGCCCAGTGCTGAAAATAAAAATAAAAAAAAAACAGAGAATTTGTACAGAGAATTTAGTATTAAACCTTTATCAGTAATTGTTTTACCTATCTAGAGTGTTTTGGAGGAAAGGTATATGTTATACAGAGATATTGTTTTGTGAGGGGAGCTAGTAATGGTGTGTAACTTAGCAGTTAAGGAGTTTTTTTGTTTCTGCTGTTTGGTAATATTTGTGGGCTAGTGCTGTTAGTCTGTTTTTGAGTAAGGGGATGTTGCTAGCTTTGTGTATATAATTGATTGGGATAAATTTTGGCAGTCTAAATGCTAATCTTAGAATTCTGTTTTGCTGGAGTTAAAGTGATTTGGGGATGTTTATGGGCATACTGTAGGTGATTTGAGAGCTGTATTTTACTAGGGGGCTTATATATATTTGTATAATAGTATTAGCTTTTCATCCTTTATTTCAAAATTACATAGTTTAACTTTTACTTTTTAATGTTTTTGAAGTGTTTGTTTAAGCTGTGTCTAAATTCAATACCCATGGTTTTTATGGGGTTCAGGAGGACCTGCCAGTCATTATACCAATTAACTCTCTCAACATGGATTCAGTCAATTTGACCGACCAAGTGATCTCTTTGTACTTGTTCAAAGTTTTTGAAGATTTGAAACTACTAACTTTTAATATAGTATGTATATCTTCACAAAACATGGCAGTCTTTCAGTAAACATTATAAGTCATTCACAAAAAAAACCATATTATTTAGTGAAGTATTTTTAATAAACTAAAAAAAAATATTTGTCCATGAATATATCGAGTATTTGTTTTGAATAGTCCATGTGCAAAGTGATTTTCATGTTAAAATTAAAAATACTTTTTTGCATCAGAAAATTTTAAAATTTT